TTTCCTGAGCTTCCTCGATTGACTCGACTCGCCGAGTTGGTCCACCAACTCGCCGAGTCCCCATGTCCACATAATGTCATAATCCCATCCCTACTCGTCGAGTCTAGCAAGAGCTCGACGAGTCCGCCTTCAACAACACATCGGACTATCTTCAACCGACTCGCCGAGTTCGTCCTTGAACTCGTCGAGTCCATCTTCATCCATATGAAGGTGTGGCTCAGGTCGCCACGACGTGGCGGTAGGGAAAATTGCGTCTGGCTGTTTTTAGAGGGCCACGACGTGGCCATAGGTGGCCACGACGTGACGGTTGACCAAAATCAACGTTGACCGTTTACTTTAACCATTGACCTGCCAGGTGGCAAGAAATCAAGATTGAACAAGTTCAGTCCATATGAGTTTGGATTTGTCACTAACCTTGTCTTGTGATTATGGTTATGACAAATTCACATGGATAGGACACACATACAGCTTAAAACATAAGTGTCATAAGGTTTCTCTCAAATTCATGAAAATGATTATGAGGAAACGCTTTCACTAAGTAGATATTTTTATTAATGTAGACGTATATTTTTAAATAGAGAAGTATTTTTTAAATATAGATTTTGTTTTTAAATATGGAAATACTTTTTTAAAGCTAAAAAATACGTTTTTAAATATATAAAAATACGTATTATGCATTTTTAAAGTTAAAAAATACGTTTTTAAAGCTAAAAAATAGAACAGAAGGAACATACTATACACTAGAAGATAAGGAACATACTATACACTAGAATAGAAGGAACATACTACACTAATACAATAACAAAGATAGCATTAATGTGAGCCACTACTTCATAACGCGGCAATATACTGCTATGTCACATTTTGTAACCAGAGTCTCCTGGAGGGAGAGCGTGAGTTTGTGTATAGATCTATACGGGATTGACCATCCTACACTTTGCTGCTAGCTACAGTGGGACCATTGGTTCCAGAAGAGTTTTTAGCACCAACACTAAAATATAAATTCGTGTTTTTCAGACATGCATGCCCAAATCATGTCTTGAAGGGTTTTATGACCAAGAATTCATGCATGACACCACAACCCATTCTTACTTCAGATCCAAGGCATCAAACACCCCAAATGTTTCAGAGATTTATAAAGTTGCAAACCATTTTTCAGAAAATATCAGATTTTCTGACGTTTTACGAACAATACAAAACTTTTCATTCAAACATGCTTATGAACTCACCAACATTATATATGTTGACATTTTCAAAATAACTTGTATTCTCAGGGAATCATTAAGCGGAAAGGTCTACAAGAACATGTGGGATTTGAGATACATGGAGAGATTTAGGAGAGATTTGAGATACATGGAGAGATTATGGAGAGATTTGAGATACATGGAGAGATTTAAGATACATGGAGAGATTTGGGAGAGTGGTATATAATTAAGATTCTATAGACCTAGGATGTGTGCTTCCGCCCTATCTCATGTTCCTTATCTGGTTGTGGATTTGGGGCAGAGTCACCCATCCGACCATCTTGTCAATCTTAATTATATATAACTTGTATACATGAGACGATGATAGATGGACCAGTTATCAATACTACTATGAACCGGATGACACATTTCCAATGTGACACCTTTAGGAGAACCATATCTCCCACCTATAACTCCATGTCTTACTGGCACCTGCCGACATTCCTCTTCTGCCGATTCTGATCTGGAACGCTGATTCTTGCTTCTCTCCCCAGCTAAAAGTTACACCCTTTTACGTCAGGGTGGTAAGAAGTTTAGTAATTTGGGAGAAATTCTAGATGAATCTGCGATAGTAGCCAGCATGACCTAAGAATTGACGAATCAAGTGAACTCGTCGAGTTGATGAACCAACTCGGCGAGTTAGCTAGGGTTTGTTTAGGTGTTCTGGACTCTATGGGAACTCGACGAGTTGCTAGATGCACTCGACGAGTTGAGGTTTCTTCAACAAGCCTTTGGGAAATTGAATAAGTTGAAGAATACCGAAAAAAATCCTGTGTGCAACTCAAAAATAAGTTTGATGAGGAAGCATTATCCAAATCTTTTCGCATCATCAGACTTCGAGGACGAAGTCTACTTCAAGTGGGGGAGATTTGTAACAGTCGGAATCCAGGTATTTACCTTTCTTTCCCTTAGCATGAAAATTCATTGCATAATTGGTCCCTTCGTACGTTGGGCGTACTTAAGGGTACGCTTAGCGTACTAGGGAGGGCCAATCCGACTTTCTTCTCCACAGCAGACTTCGAGGACGAAGACTAGTCCAAGTGGGGGAGAGTTGTAACATCCTGATCTCCAGGTATGAGATTTATTCTTAAATCAAGTTTTCCTTTGGAACTCGGCGAGTTGATAGCGAGAAAAAAGATTAAGGTGAGATGAAGACATGTCACCGGAGCAAGGTCGTAAGAGTGGTAAGAGTGGTAAGGTTACGGTGGTAGAGGTTGTTTCCGTCGAAGGTAAATGGCGATACCGGAGGTCGGTGGTTGGTGGCGACGGAAAGTCGCCGAAGATAAGAGGGAGAATGAAGAGATGTTTGGTGAGAGAGAGGGAGAATGAAGTTTTGTATTTCTAATTTTTTGATCTGATGTTTTATGTTTCAAATGTAATAATTTGTTTGTGAAAATATATTCTTTTTATTTGCAATCATGCCATTATTTTTTAACAATATATGTACAAATTACCCTTTACAATATTTTTAAATATCTAATTGAGAAAAGATACATATAATCTTAAGGGTAAATTACACCATTCGTCCCTCGTCCACATGCCAGAAAGCGTGTTTAGTCCCTATTTTCAAAAATTAACTCGGACCGTCCCTTATTATTTTAAAACCTGCACACTTCGTCCCTCATTAATTTAAATTTGCATGTTATATCCCTACCCAACTATAAAATGACTATATTGCCCTTAATATTTTATTATTACATTAATCATAAATTATTTTATATTAAAAAATAAGAAATAAAATACCCTAACCCAGCCTCCATGTTCCCTTTCCCCCTTTCCTTCTACATTCCTTCTACCTCCTTCGTTTCCAGGTTAATAAACCCCACCATCACTTCATCGGATTCATCTTTTTCCGAGGAACATCGCCTCAAGGATTTCATCTCTTCTGGCGAGCATCAAGACACTCCAAATGAAGAACCGTCGATCGTTCTCTCTTTCTTCTCCGGTCTCAATCAAGAATTGTAAGACTTTTTCTTTCTTCTTTGTTCGAATCGGAGGTAGAGGCGGCCAGTATCTCCGGCGACATGGTTACAGAGGGAAGAGTGGTTGAAGACCATTTTAAATTTGTTCAAATCGACACCAAGTGCAGATCTTTCAGATATGATAAAATCTAAACGATAATTTCTTTCTTTCTTTTCTGTTTGTTATATCAATTCCCATACTTCAAACTCATAAAGATGCAGGGGGTGGTTTTCCATTTCTTTCTCTCATCATTGATTTCAATTTCGGAATTTATGGTGTGGATCTCAGCACCAATTTTGATATGTATGCGTTTACTAGAGCTTTAGGGCTAGAACTCATGTGTAGCTACCAGGCCACCATATTGAACGAAGCTCTAGGTTTGAATCTGAAAGGGTTTCAAATAAAATGTAAGATATATTACTGGATTGTGGTCTAGAGGTGATTGGTGGTGTCAGAATAGGTATACGGTAGTATTGTCGGAATACGTAAGAGGTGGTGGTGATGGAATAAGAGAAGGAAACAGAGGGTGAAAAGACGGAGAGTATGTGAGGTGGTGGGACCCACTGAGATGGTGGGGTGGTAGTTGGTGGTGCGGAGGTGCTGGCGGTGATAAGCAGTGATGCCAGAGGTGCTGGCGGTAGGTGGTGATACCACAGGTGCTGGCGGTTATATGTGGCGGTTTATGGAAAATCTTGAGATGGGGAAATGAAAATAGATGGGTAGAGATATTTTTTTTATTTTTAGTTTTAATTTAAAACCGATAAATAAACAAAATAAAATGAAAAAAATAAATTATTAAGGGTAAAAAAGTCATTTGATGTCAATAGAGACTAAGCGTATAAGGAAACACAAACAGAGGGATGATCCGAGTTAATTTTTAAAAATATGGACTAAACATGCTTTCTGGCATGTGCACGAGGGACGAATGATATAATTTACCATAATCTTAATTATAAGCTAAAATTAGAGGTTCTTAAGGTTCTTAATATTTTTTGGTTCTTATTTGATCTTTTACCCTCTCTCTCTCTCTCTCTCTCTATATATA